TCCTCAGCGCATCTTGAGATCCACGCATGTGTTTACATTTTGTTCTCTGTTTGAACTCAAATCCGTCCTGGGGAACTGAAGGACCTCCCACTTTGCTGAAGTCCTCTGACCTGCTGCAGTTTCCCAATGAGTCTTTATGATTCTCAGTCCCCATACGTTCATATGGTTGTGGCCACAATATCAACACTGACCAGTACCTTATGATTTCTATTTTTTCATCACTTCATTTAGCCCAACCTGACTCGCTCTATCTATTTCTCTCTGTCTCCCTCTCGGGTCAACACACTAACAGACACACACACACACACACACACACACACACACACACACACACACACACACACACTGGGTAAAAACAGCATAATTTGTTCTGCGAGAACTCAAATGATGGGGAAGTGAGATCTGATTATGGGAGAACATTTTAATATTAGGCGTGAACAGATGAACTTTGCACTGACCACTTGTGATTGGATCTCTCGGGACGGACGTTAATACCAGGTCGGAACAGGGTCTCTGAGTTGTCAGTCATGTCAGAAACACACACACACACACACATGCACGCACACAGACATGCACGCACACACACAAACACACACACACACACTTTCAAACATAGCGATTTACCAGCCATCCCTTTCATTCCACCTCCACAGCCATCTCTCACTCACTCACACACACACACACACACACACACACACACACACACCATCCCCCTACCAGCCACCTCCCCACCCTTCCTAACACCCCCACCCCCCCACCCCCCCGCTTCGCAGAGGCCCCTTGCCTGCCCTGGCTGCACTACTGGCTCACTGACACCGCCCTGCTGGATGGAAGAGGCAATGAACAGGCTAAGCAAGCGCGATCTTCCGTAGCTTTTTCTGTGTCTCTTTAGTTTCGAAACCACCCCCATCTCTGCTCACGAGCCTGCACTCTCTTTAGTTATTTAATTTTCCCCCGGTTCACTCTGACCTCAAACACTCAGAGTTCCCCCTCTAGTGTCTGTGAAAGTTGATGTTTGTAAATATTGTGTTGCGTGTCTCGTCCTGTGACATATGGTCTGTCATTATGTAGCTAGTCCTGCTGCAATGTTCACTGTCGCCTCTCATTCGTGCAGAACATAAACAAATCCAAGTTGTGTAGAGTAGCACCACCCATCTTCCGACCCACTAAGACTAGTGCAGTCATTGAGTGTTTGAGGTTTTGGCTGAAACATGATTAAAAATACCAGCATGATGTACCTGGATGTGTGAGAGAAAACGAAAGACGACCAATCATGTGTTTGCGTGCATGTATTCAGAGTGTGTGCATGGGAAAGTGTGGATTTTTAGCTCCCTGTTCTTGGTCACTAACTCTCACACTCTCTCCCTTCCTCTTTCACTATGTTTTTATCCCCCTCACAGCACCCGCAAACAAAACTACATGATGAACTTTGCCAGACAGACCGGCGTGCGTCACTACTACAGCCGCAAGAGGCGGGCACTGCGACTGCGTGCCTGAACCCAACCAAGAAGGGATCCGCTCTCTGACCTGCCAAGCACACATCGACCCGCCACACACATCCTTTTTTTCTCCTGACGACGTATCGCCCTGCTGAGTCCCATCCACCGGTGGATTCCAGTCAGCCTTAGACTCCCCTCGCCCATCTCGCCCTCTACCCTCTGCCAGCAACACGGGCCATCCAGTCAGTTAACGCCAGCCAACCGCGGCCTTCCCAACCACATGGGTTGGCGGGAATGAAACTCTGAGGAAAAGGAGTGAAGCAGACATTTTGTTAAGTTTTTCTTTTTCATGGATGGTCAGGGGGTTTCTAGTTGTTTTCTAATTGTTGCTGTGGTCCCCGTGTCTCCACCCACGACATCCCTCCCTCTGGCTAACCTCCCCCATCACTCCCCCTCCTCTCTCCTCACCCTGCTTTTCCTGCCACACTGTGAAATTAGAGAGATAATAAAATAATATATCACTGCTGAACTGACCAGCCAATTGGAGAGTTGCCTCCCAGTGAGGGGGAGCAGGGGGGTGCACTCCACTCCACTGCCGCCAAACCAGTCCGTCAGGAGAGAGACCACAATGGTGATGATGATGATGACGACGATATCGACCCATGAAGAGGAATACCGGTGATGAAGAAGAAGAAAAAAAAAGTACTGTGTTCTTGCTGTTCTGTGTGTCTGTGGGTTCTTTTCGTGATGAGTTGACTGTGGTGTTCCGTTCACTCGTTCGTTCGTTTTCTACTAATTCATATGCTTTTAAGGTGGGGGGAGGGACAGAGGGAGGGAGAGGGGGTGCTGGGTTCCATTTCCTTTTTCTCTTGTTTTATCCAGGACGGACGCGGGGCCGGGCCGGGAAAAAAACAGCCCGGCCTCCTCTGCAAGAAGGAACGAAAGAATGATTTGCACGACAGGAAAAGGAGAAAATAAGAAAAAAAAATGAAAGACTGAACAATGATTTTTTTTGTTTGTTTTTTTATAATTTTTTTATATATATATGTTGGTTCCCGAAAATACAGATATTTATGGTAAATGGTTCTTCACGTAACCTATTTAAGATGCACTGTGCGTGAAATCTGTATGTTATTTTTTAGTGTTAAGTTATTAGGCAGTTGAGTCCGGCTCTCAGACTGCATCATCTCTCCTCTTCCTCCTTCTCTTGTGCTGTTTCCCTCCTTTCCATCTCTCTCTCTCTGCTGATTTTCTGAAACCTGGAGGTGAGGCTCTATTAGTGTTGTTTTTTGAAGTCTGTGTAATATGGACCCTCTTGCCCTCAGTGTAACTCCAGTATAGCAATCTCCTGTATATATATGTATATCCACTATGGGGAGACCCAGCAGCCTTATAAAAGGGAAATAAAGAACTGTCCAAACCTCATACTGTACACATTGCTTCAGCTGCTCTCTTTCATTGTTACAGATAAACCTGATGTGTGTCTATGTACTTTTTCTTAGTGTCAACAACTTGCCAACTTTCCTTCTGTCTGTCACACTCCTCCAAGCCCAGTAAACCTGTTGGGGACTGTTTTCAGCTGCGGAATAATATACATGGGTTGCACCCTCTGTATCTCTTAAGCACTCCTTTATGTTATTGTTGGTTGTGATAAAGCAACATGTCAGTGTAGCTCGCTGACATGTTTTTATACATCAGAGCAAATTTAGTGTCCTCACTAAGATAGAAGTACAAATGTGTGTGTGAGTGAGAAGTACACAAAATATATTGAAAACTAGTTTGTCGCTCAGTAGATCTCATACCTCCGAGACCTCCGAGTCTAACGGTCCCTTTCTGAAGTTTAAATTCACTGAGATCTGCATCAAATTGCACTCGAATCAGTCCATTAAATATGCCTGATTTTTTTCATCATAATCCGTAAATTTACTTTATAATGTTAAAAAGGTGGAGAAAAGAAGCCTAGATCCACTTCCTGATCCAGATCCACACATAAAATGTACAGTATGAGTTCTTTCCAGATCTAACACATCCTTAAGTGTAATCTTGCTTATAAACCAACGGACAGGAGTGAAAACACAGCCTCCATTGCAGAGGTAAAAAAAAAAGCACAGAATGTAAAATTTAAAATATTTATTCACAGACTTTCAAACATTATTATAGCAGATTAGATTTTAAAATGATTAAAAATTATATGTTGACATCTGCCATCACTGTGGTGCACACCACAGGGTCAGATAACGCTCGTGCTGGCCTTCATCATTACTTCATGTTGAGGCTGCAGAGATCTCTTGTCCACATTATCAACAGTGACATTAGATTAAAGACGACGCTCGTCAGGAATCTGTGGTCACAAGCTGCCGACCACCACAGCTACACTGACTAGTGTTAGAGTGATGGAGAGGAGACCGGCTGTGACAATCGGGCAGGAGTTACAGTACGGTCCGTCACAGCAGGCGTAGCTCATGGTGTAGATGGTTCCCTTGAAGCGATGCTTGTGCACCTGCTCGCAGTCCCTCTTTGCCATGCAGCCCCTGGCCGACAAGGCGCTGTGATTGCCGTAGCGACCGTCTGCCTTGAAGCACAGCTCGTCAGGAGGGCACTCGGTCACAATGAGCTCGAACTTCTCCTCTTTCTCCAGGATGGGGCTGTAATAGCACCGCAGGTTGTCACACAGCACAGAGGGGAGGAAGAGGAGGTGGAACCACAACACAGGAACATGCAGGAGCTGGAACATGGTCAGCCTGCAAGAAGAAAAGAGATATCTGGTTTTCTGGCATCTAGGCCTAATATTGAAGTAAAAAAACATAAGACTTCAGAGTGCATTCATGATTTAGTATCAATCTTCCATCATGTTAGGGCACCAGTGAGAAAACAGTCGAGGTCAAGCTCTATAATCACAAGTTCCCATTACACAACTTTCATTCCTACCAATTTAGAGTCCCAAATGTCCCCAGCCCCAATCTGCATGTGTTGGACTCCAGCAAAAAGATGGCATACCCATGGAAAATCCATGGAGAAAGATACAACCTCCACCGGGATTCAAACCTGGAACCATTTAGCTTTGTGGCAACAGTGCAACCACCATGTTGCTCTCTTGACAACTTATTTTCAAATTCCTGCTAATACTTAGTTTCTAGACTCCTTAAGGTCAATGACCTACCAGCCAAAATCAAGTCACAGCAATTAGTTGATTATCACAGACTTGACAGAGCTCATCACACTAACAAAACAATCAGAATTATTTGTTCTGAGCCTAAATAAAAATCAATTAGAAATTCTCTGACAAAGTTTGTCGATTGACATTTCAAAGCTCCACATGTCAGTGATGTCTCCTGATTGTCACATTAGACGTTTGTACCTTCTGATGGCAGAAACACAATTTAACCATAGAAAAAAGCAGTACAATGACTCACCTGCACATTGTTAAATCCAATAAAAATCTATTGAAACAAGTTAAAACTCTTCTCCAGGTGAACTCAGCACTGAGTCCAGATCTCTCTGCACAGACCACACCCCCAACACACCTGTTCTGTATCGGAGCAACTACACCAAAGAGGGATCTGAATCATTGTTTGATTTTATTGAGCTGCATTCATCAGTAACCACACAGATAATGTCAGCATTTCTTCATATATATATATTTTTTTTAAGGGTGGATGTGTTTTTTGGGATTAGATCAGGAGGATGGCTGACAAATCCACCCTTTTCTCTCTGGAGTAAAAAAGGTAAAGACACAAAACACAGATGTTAATTTTTTAAAGAACACATGTGACCACATGTTCCCATCAGAGACTCAGTTGAGAGCTTGTGACCAACAGGCCTCTCCTGTGCAGCCTCCTTGTTATGCAGTGTCAGGTATGTTGTTTCTTAATGATGTGTAATTTGCACACGAGTCCCAGGCCAGCTCCCTGAGAACATCAGTGATGTTTCCGTTGTGTGCTTTGTTCTTCATTATCCCCAGCAGCCTCTTCAGGCCGGCGTCAGACCTTGGCGGCCCGTTGCATTCGTCCATGCAGCAGCAGGAGTGGCTGACGTTGTACTTGACCCCCCTGTGAGACATGAGCTCATGGGAGCCACAGAGGTCACCGTCCAGGCAGCCCTGAGCGGAGAGCACGTGGACGGCGCCGTAGCGGGCCGTGGAGCTGGAGCAGCGCTGACCGGGCAGACACTGGCTGGTGATGTTTCCGCAGGATTTGTCCTTGTGCTGCAGGGGACAGTAGTGACAGACCAGGGTGTCCGCGCTCAGAGCAGGGAGGAGCAGGGCTGTGGCCAATAAGATGGAGGTCAGGAACCAATGTGGCCCCCAGTGACGTCTGATGTAAATCCACACACACACAGGAATGATAGCAGACATGCTTTGATGCACCAAGTTCCACTCATCCGTTGTTCAGTGTAGGTGTGTTGTTCACCTGTTGTTCCTGTGTGATCCCATCTTCCTGTCTGCAATGAGGAGTCCACCTGTGAGACCTCGGCCGCTGATTACCAAACACAGGCAGCTGGGACTCTGAGGCCGTTGAGCACGAGTCGTAAGTAATTTTAGAAAAACTCAAAATATTTTAACTTTTAGTTTATTGACCAAAAATATTTTTTTATCTTATGTTTCAAAAGACTTTTACCTGATTTTAAAATGATTTTCTAAACAAGTGATAAGACCTGATTACACTGGCATCTAGTGGCTGGTGTGCTGCAATGCCATTACAGAAATTACTGTATTACTTGACTTGGTCTTTTTCTATCTTATTCATTTGATTATCAAAAGAACCTTTCCTACAGGATCCTTAACATTTTTTTATTTATTTGCTATAAGATTTGTCCTCAAGACACTTTCCAAATAACTATAAGCTACTAGTCTACATGTGTTAAACATCTGCAATACTGCAATGGCCCAACAGTCCCCTTATGGAACCACATTTAAATTCACTAGATCTAAAAAGATTTTCATTTTGAATAAAAGGTAATGATAATAATAGTCTTATTTTAAATTATCATGAACAGACAAACAGAGAAAAGGAGGAAAGAAAATGATGCTCTCGTCCAGGCTGATATGCCTGATTACTGAAGATCTTAGAGGTAGAACCAAGGGTCACATTATACACCACACAAGCACAGTCTAAGGAATCAGATGTGGGAGCTGGCCATAGAGAGGCAGTGAGGCTGATCCACATTTTTATTTGGATCTGCACCAAATTGCAAACACTCATTAATATCAAGATCCATGAATTATTCTTCTAAAAATCATGGAAAACCCTGAAAGAAGAACAATGTCAAAGAAAGCCTGGAGCCTCACCAAAATAAAATGGGTTCTTCCTTGGGTCATGTCCCATCCTTCCACCAGGTTTTATGGAAATCTGTTCAGTTGTTTTCATGTTATCTTGCTTCCAAACAAACAAACAGAGGTAACAAAGTCTCGAAGAAGAAATCTGTGGTCTTTCTTCTCTTATCAAGTCCCATAACCAGATGAAAAGGAGAGTGTTCCCTCCTTGTACAAAGGTTCCTGCAAAGAAAAGCTCATTTAAAGACGATATGATAGAAAATGTGGTTTCATTAATGAGTCAAGTTTTAGCGGTTTCTCACAGCCAACTCCTGATCCTCCATGTCAGCGTCCCTCCACTCATCTTCTGCGGGGTCGTAGGTGTACAGAGGAATCAGCCTGTGACGTAGCTCGTCTAATCTGAAGCAATGAAAGAAACACATAAACCAATCTGTGACAGAACCAAAAAGATTAAACTGATCAGAAAAGGCTGCTTAAATCAAACGCACCTTGATTTCTTCCTAATATACAGAACCTGCAGAGAAGTAAAACAACACACACACTTAACACTAAGCCCAAAATGCACAATGAAAACCAGCTCAAAAAACAGAGGTGCTCTTACCACTGCAGCAGCACATCCAATCAGCGTGAGCAACACAAAGGGGATGAGAACACTGTAAGTAGGAAATCCAGGCGTTGGATTTGTAGGTGAAATGTTTGGCGTAGTGTGGTTGAAATACATTTCTCTTTGTCCCATCTCGTCCTCCATCGTTCACACAGCACACCCCTGTGCTGCATGCTCCAGCTGACACCTCAGTGAGACATTCAGGGGATCGCAGTCGCTGTCATTGTCAGTGAAAGGCCACTATGGGCTCTATCAACCAGGAAGGCTCAGAATTGAGTTTATGACGCATGTTTTCCTCAAGTCCTCAGCTGAAAGGAGACACACACTCACACATACAGCTCTGACATAACCCAACCTGCTCAATCACATTCCTGTGTGAGGAGAAGATGTTCAACTGGATCCATGTGTTTATTAAACTCAATAGAGAATAGATTGTCACTTATTAGAGTGTGTTTAACTCTACCAAGGCCCAACAGTCCCCTCATGAAACCATATTGACAATGTATCTCTTATCTCTGGATTATTTAGTTTATTATTTTAATAAAGTCCACTACCACAACATCAGACCATGAATACACAGGATGGAGTTGTAGCAGCAGAGAGAAAGTAAAAAAAAAAATATGTATGTATGTATTTTTATTTTTTGATATTTTTCATTTTTACTTTTAGAAAATAATGACTTTTCAGAATTCTTATGATTGACCTTCATCTTTTGTGTGCAGTTTCTATATTTGTGCTTGATATTAATTGCTGTGCCAATTTCATTGAATGGTCTAATGTCTAAATAAGGAATCTTGAACATACAAATATGTGTAATACTGTGTTTCCTCCAGCAGAGAGAGAGCATGGTTGAGTGTTGGCAGTGGGAGGGGTGAAGAGGCACAGATGCAGTCCTCTCTATGTAACGTACTGGTTTAACTTGCTGAGCCTGGTTTCCCTCAGACGCTCGTTGTGTTGACACTGGATGAGACCTGAGCTCTCATGGTGAGTTTCCAACCAACACATCAATCTGAGTTTTAAGAACTAACTTTAACGTATATAGTGTGCACAGTGAACGTGAGAGTCTCAGTTTATTCAATGTTTAAGAGTTTGGATTGTAGTTTTTTTTTTTACTGAGCAGTATTTTCATTTCAGTTGTGTATAAGGTAAAGTACAAGGAAGGTTAAAGTTTTAAGTTTTCAAGTTTCACTTATGTTTAACTGCTCTCAACTCAGTGGCGCGCTCAGGTAGATTTTCTGTTAAGATTCGAAAGCTTGTTAATGATTAGACACATTCTAAACCCTGAGTCATAAAACAGCTTGCTGGTCCTGTCGGTAGTGTCCTCAGGGTCATACACTAAAGTGATTCATTCATTCGTATGAAAAGGAAGTTGAATAAAAAGTTAATGCATTTTGTGTTTCTTTTAGGACGCACTAAAAGTGTGAAATAACCCAAACCAGGAGGATTTTTTCTCTACAATGTGATGGATCCTCCTGCCAGGCAAGATGAAACACTCCAGACACAAGAGTCTGACCTGCCCCTGCCTTTGATAGTGGAAGAAACTCACATTTACAAGAACCTTGAACAGCTTCAGGAAAAGGATGAAGCACTTTTGTGTGAGACCTCCTTCACTGAGGTCATCTGCCTGCCTGAAACTCAGCCACAACCTGCGGGTCAGCTCTTGGCTCGAGGCACTGATATCACTGACCACCACAACACAAGTGAGCTTCCCCCACTCCGCAGGCCTCAGCCTAAACCCCGAACCAGGCCTCTGCCCTGGGTGGAAGAAGGCCATGCAGCCCCCCCTGTGCCCCCTAGGACACGAGTACCTCTCAGCCACCTCAGAAAGCAGTTTTCCTGTGACCTCCCCGAGCCAGTTCCCAAACTCAACCGATCCAGGACGGAAATAGACACTAATGTGAGTATGTGAGGCAAAAAGCTCCTTATCTTCTGAATAAACTCACTCAAACAAGAGGTGGTAAGATCAGAGAGAGAGTTCTGAGTTTGTTTTAACTTTCACATCAGGAGCTCTGGACGATCAAACTAATAGACACTCCACAGGGCAGCACCAGGAGGCTTTCCTCTTTTTGTGAGGCAACTTCCAAGTAAGAGAATGATACCAAACTTAAATATTTGGAGTAGTTTCAAGTTCAAACTGGGAACCTGTTTGTCTCTACCATCTCTGGCAGGCTGATGTCACGGCACAAACACACGGACAGCGTTCATAACTCAGGCGTGTTGTGGGGTCGAGTGTTGCAGGTCCACCCTGCCCTGCTGCAGCAGTTGGAGGTGACGGTCAGCTTGGCCACAGAGTGGGGCAATAACCAGATCCCCTTCCCCACCACAGGTAAGATATTCATTTACCAGTTCCCCACCCACCCTCAGGCACACAGAGGTACTTAAAACCTTGGTGTCTTATACTTACATCTGCAGGTATGGCAGTGAAAAACATATGAAGAGTTTCAATGCTGCAAAATCACAGCAAAACACAGACGCACCTCCATAGCTGCGAGTATGTCTGAATAGAATAGAAAACCTTTATTTGCATTGTACAAGGGAAAGAGGTGCTACTTCTGCAGATTTATTAAAGAAATAAAGTTTTAAATATGACAAGACACAAACCAATAAATGCAAGACTAATATATGAATTACTTTGAAACAGGAACTGACATCTACATCCGTCAGACTTAGAAAACAAATCAAGACCTTGTACAGACATTTGACAGAAAAGCCACTGGTCAATACATTTAAAATGCATTTCATTTTAACCTCTCCCAGATCAAACTACTTTACTAGTTTTGAAGAGTGTTATTTGTGGATCTTGATGGAAAAACTCATATTTAGGAGATTGATATCTATTAGTGAGTGAAATTTGATTGGGCCTTGTTGGGGTTATGTGCTCTACTGAGTTTCATTCTAGTTTGTTTGTTAGTTTGCAGGATTATGCAACAAAAGGGGACGGTTGGGTCTGGACAGAGGTCTGCACTCTACTGACTCACTCTGCCTATCTTTATATTTCAAGTACTATTCTCTCTTACACATAAACAAACCAGACAAGGCTGGAAATTCTGGATTTTTTATCATTGTCAACACATTTCATGAATCAATTTCAACATTCTTTCGACAATGTTTTTGTTTCCATAACTTATGGGTGAATGTGTGCTATTGTCCATGAACCGGTTTTATAAGGCGACTCTACTCAGTGCCTCACTCTGATGAGTGTCATTCTATTATGTGGGGATATTATGTGTGTGTTGAATCCTATGTGATCATTTTGACTTTGTGAGGACATTTTGGCTGGTCCTCACAAATTCAATGGGACTAAAGATAAGTGTAAGGATTAGGCATTTAGTTGTAATGGTTAAGGTAATGGGCTAGTGAATGCATTATGTCAATAAGTGTCTTCACAACGATAGAGACACTCTGAACTCTCGTCTTTTAACCAGTGAACAGGACAGTGAAGAGTCTGATCCATGAAATCTTCCAGCTGCTGGAACTCGATCCTGCAACAAGTGGGCATTATGTTCTAAAACTGTGTGACTCCGAGGAGTATCTGCAAAAGTAAGACACTTATACACGAATTACCTACGTATGTACCATGATGTTCTAGTGTATGATGCTCCACAAATCAGTGTTCTGACTGTAATTTCTCTCTTCTGTCTGTAGTGAGGAGCTGCTGGGTATGCACAACACTATTCAGATCTACTACAAGCTCAAACTAGATGTCCCCCTGCGACTGCTCCACGTGAACACCCTCAAACACCGTCTCTCTAGGGATGTAAGTCACTTCAGACTCTGGCTCTGTTCCCACGCACAGTGCAGACCATTTACCGTAAAGGAGTGTCTTATCGTCAAGTCCTCCACCCTGATTTCTTGACTTTGTTTTGTTTACACACAACGTCATGACTGGAGGCGCTCAGCCACAGGAATGTAACAGGATAAAGGTGAACTGATGTGTCATTTCGAGTCAGACCCATAAAAATTCAAAACAAACATTCCACTGCAATTTCATGATTCTATATTTATTCAAAACCACAGAAGAACAGCCACAGTCCTTCAAAGCAGCCAGTTAATGTGTGTTTCTTCTCTCAGGGGGCGGATGACATGAGCCCGTGTCAGCTGTACAAGTCCCTGCGTCCTGCCTGTCTCTTTGACACCTGCAGGTAAGATTACAAATGGTCCTGAATCCCACGTCAGCTTTTGGTGTCAGTGACAATGACACGTTCAGTTGGTCATCCATCAACCAATGTCTGTTTGTAGAAAACATGACTCTCTCTCTGTGTGTGTGTGCGTGCGTGCGTGTGTGTGTGCGTGCGTGTGTGTGTGTGTGCGTGTGTGTGTGTGTGTGTGTGTGTGTGTGTGTGTGTGTGTGTGTGTGTCGTAGGTTGAGCCTGCAGGATGTGCTCAGCAGCTACAACAGAGAGGTGACAGAGATCATAAAAAATAAGGTCAGTAAAGAAGTATAAGTACATGATGGTTGGGTGTATTATTACTCTCAAACACAAACACATATTTATGAGTTTTGATCATTGATTCTTGGGTGTGATCTCTTCATAACTATAGTCTGGGATCAACATCAATGTGCTTGTGGGTCGAGTTCGCACCATCACAAGTCTTCTGTGTGGACTCTCATGTGAGGAGCTGGAGGACATCATCAGCTGGCTCAACAGACTCAGCCCCACACAGTTGGTGAGATGTTACACACAGACACATGTATATGAAGTGTGATCAAGTAAAGAAGTCCTGTCAATTATTCAGCCCTCTGTCTTTTTATGCCTCTGCACCAGCGAAGTATCATGTTTTCTGGTTGTACATCCTGTTCTTGTAAACAGATTTCCCCGAAACACCTTGAGAGAATCTCTTCAAATGTGGTCCACACAATGAGTTGGACTGCAGGATGAACTAATTCAATTTTGGTAGCTCAAGGTTAAGGTAGCTGTGACCTCACAAAGCATTTTTTCCAGGACAAACATTCACTTGGATTCACAGATGACCTGGTTAGATATTTTTAGGTCAAAGGTCTCTGGAACCTCAGAAACCTTTCTTTCCTTGTGAACATTTTATCGTAACAACGATTGTAACAGCGATGGCACAAATGTTCACTTAGACTCACAGATTAACTGATTAGGTTCTGTATTTGGACTAATGTGATATCACAAGTCTGTCTTTTGTGAAATTCTTTAACTTTTGACCAGTTTGTCTATGTATGTATAAATCTGTGTAGACTGAAACTGCACTGGTTGGTGGATGCATACAGTGCGGTACTTCTCGGGCAGTATTTCTATTTTTCTAGTCGTACAATACTCTTTCTGTGGTTTTACTTTCTTTGTAGGGACAATACTTTGCTGAGGTATTGTGACTATAATGGACCAAAAGCTGTCATCACCTCCTCATTCCACTGATGAACTGATACAATGTATTTCCTCATTTTCTTTTTCACAGAGTCATGATGAGATTGAAAGTGGTGAGTAACTGTTTATCAACTATATTAGAGTGGAACTGGTTTGTCTGGGTTGGTTCCCCAATGAAATTAAACAGAGGGCATTGCCAATATGTCCTTAGTATTCTAACTATAACTGCATTATAATTGAATAAGTAATAAAGATATTGATGTACTAACCTTTTGATTTGATGTTGGTTCTGTGTTCTGAACTGTAGCGGTGCTCATGCTGCGGGGGGCGCTGCTCAAAGTGCTGCAGTTCTTTTTTGACAACTTCCAGTCAGACTTCAGAGGTCAGGAGGTCGCCAGCAACCTGCAAACACGTGACGTCGAGGACAATGGTGACATCTTCCAGTTCAACATCGCTGCTCTCTACAAACTGCAGCTCTCCTGGCTCAACACGTACGTGGTCACATTACTTATGTATGCACAAATACAGATACACAAATGTAAACCACACCCCTGATATCAACACTAGGCTTTTGTTGTTTTCTCTCTATTCTTCATAGGTATGAGCACTTCTCTGTTTCCTGTGAGTTGACGTACAGAGGAGTGAAGATCTGCGACACTGGCGTTTCTGACAATATCAGTACAGCCCTGTCGTATGGAAACAAGATCCAGTGTAACCGCATGTAAGAGTAAAATTTGTAAAAAAAACTAAACAAATTGTCTTATTCATCCTCCTCTTTCCTTGTCTGTGAGGATTCTCAGTCATCCAGGTCACGGTATATCCAAGTGCTTAAAAAATGGTTAACTGGACTCAAGCAAGTCCCTCTTTTCCTTGTTGCCATGGGTTTTACATTTTGACTGATAAAAAAAACTGAAATAGATTCAGATGTATCATCTTTGCTTTCCGTCTTTGCATCTGATTCAGGCTCTGTTTGTACAGCTTTGTTTTTGCCCTCACGTGTGTGTGCATGACAAATAATCCACATTAAATACATTGTTTTCGTTCAAATTTGAGGACAATAGAAGAAAGGGGTAAACAGCGTTGCAGCCAAATCCAATACAATTGAAGCAAATGTTGACCACTTGTTATTGAGTAATGAGTGAATTCATTGATAAAGAGTTGTTATTATAGTTATTATAAGAGTTAAGCTTAACAAACAAAGAAAAAGATGTTAGAAAACCTAAATAGAAATAAGCAGCATGTTTATGACAGCACGTGCATGTGTTTGATTTCAGGATGGTGTTCCCTGTTCCAGTGAAGCAGCTGCCCTATGAGAGCATGTTGACGTTTCACTTGAAAGGCTCGAAGAAAGGAAAGAACCCTGAGCTTCTCGGCTGGGCCATATTACCTCTTTACACCAGCAGGTAAGTTGCCCACAACAAATCCAGTGTTGGATACATATCTAACTTCTCATTGTGTTACACTTTGTTTACCTCTTTGACAGTTTCAAGGAGGGTATTGAGAGGATCATGGGCAATGAAAGTTTTCAGCAACCAATTTAATTACACATAGACATACACACTTTGTCATTAAACCTAAACTACATCGCTTAAAATGATTTGTTTGTTTGGTTATTTTTTCACCACTATCCTCTGTTTGTTTGTGTAAATAAGCAACATTACATAATAACTACTGAGCGGATTACTACGGGATGTGTTATGGTATTGATTACTGTTACCGATTTAACTGATCTTATTTTGCATATGATTTAAATCTATGTCTATGAATTCTGCTATTACACATTTTATTATGATTCTACAAAGTGCTTTGTTTAATTTATTATTTTGTGCTAAAACATTTAATACTACACAACAGTTAACACAGTAATTAGTGACAGACAGTGTGTGTGCTGTGTGTGTGGAGGACTTTGGTAACAGGGACCGTCCTGCTCAGTCTGTCCACCTTGGCCTGGATCCCTGCTCCTCCCTCCCCTGCCCTGTTCGACAGCCACACTCAACCTGTTGGGGTCATACTGCAGGTTAGTACTACTGAACAAATCTGCCCCCTGTTGAGCAAAACACCAAACTACAACACATTACCTGCACAATACGTCATCCCACTATTGCTCTATTCCAGCTTGAGTTTCCAAATCACTTCAAATGGACATATCAGAGGCCCATCGCCCTGCCTGGTTCAGTCATGTTCACTCAGCCGTGTGCGGAGCTGCAAAAGAAAATGTTGGACGTCTCGAAGAAGCACTGCCTCTGTTTGTGAGTAGAAGAAAACAACTCAAATATGATGTTTTTTGAGCATGTACAATTTAACTAAAGAGAGAATTATTTTCCCTGGATTTCTTCTGTATCTGTATCTCTAACCATAAGATCTCTTCTCTCAGTCTAACAGAAAATGAGAAAACCTTCCTCTGGGAGAAGCGACACTGTGGTGACAAAGAAAGCACTTTCCTCCACCTGATGCTGGGGGGAGTTCTCCAGTGGAAGCCTGAATACCTGACAGAGATCTATACTGTTGTAGAGAACTGGCCTATTCATCTACCTGAGGAGGCGCTGTTCCTGCTCAGTGACAGGTAGACTACACTGACTTATATACACAAACTAGACCTGCACTCAATAGAGCACATACCTTCATCAACAGCATCCTTAAATTAAAACTAACCTACAGGTAGGGCCACATTAGAGTTCTCAACTAGAGATTTGTGAATAAACATTGAAAACAATCCTGCAGGACTTTTAGTGAAAATGTATTCTACCTAAGCCTTCTGCAAGACTTAGTTGAAGCAAAACATAGTAATTCTGAATTAAAGATTTTGTGCAGAATTTAGTGACATCTAGTGGTGAAGTTCCCTTCCAAACGTGAGAGAGAACCTGTGGTAGCTTTCACTTGGCATAACAAGTTTACTTAGTCCACTGTGGACTACAGTAAGAAAAAAAAAAAACAAGCAGCCTTTCTCAAGGACCTGCTCAAGATGTAAATATAAAGTATTTAAATCCAAAAGGCCCATTCTAGGGAAAAATTAACAATTTAGATGATTAAACATGAGTGAAAACATTACTAGGATTATTTTATATTCAGTTTCTGCCAATAGATCCCATTCACCTAAATCTTACACACTGAAACCTTCAAATGTTTTTATGTTGTTACCATACAGCAGCTGAAACAAGCCGAAACCACATTCACTACATCCAGCTTTTTATTTGGATCCACATTAAATTACACTCATTTATAGATATCAGTCCCCTAAATGTGCCTGGTATTTTTTCATCATGATCCATGAATTATTATCTCGGAAATCAGTGAAAATGTTAAAAAATTTAACTAAAGGCCAAATCTTGCAATGTTATCTTAGATCTAAAAATCTTAGATTTGCCCTCTGATCTGGATCTGAACCAAAATTCAATGAGTTTTTGAAAGCACATTAATGGAACTGATATCTATGAGTGTGTGAACTTTGTTGGTTTGATTGAAGGGGCCTGTTTGGCCTTGGCAGATGTATGAGCTCTACTGTGAGCCATTCTAGTTTGATATAAGGATTTCTAGGGACAGTGAACTCAACACAACAGGCAGACCTGTCGAACATCACAACCATGATTTATGTTTCCATCAGTCTGAACACATCTTTTTTCAGTTTTCATGATCAGACTGTGCGAAGAGCTGCGGTTCATTACTTTGATCAGATATCTGATGGAGAACTGGAGGAGTTTCTGCCACAGCTGGTCCAGGTAAAAACACCAACACCCTCACACACCTCCACATTATCCATATCCTTATTTCAGTCAGGAACACTTTGTCATGATTTACCCATTTGTTGCAAATGGGGATACAGTTCTGATTGGCATTGAAGACTCCATTCCTTGGATGTTCCCTGGATTAGCCAAGCAGCGTGCTAAGATAAAACAGGGAACATGTGCAGAACCCCCTGTTGGGTGTAGCAGGCAATGTGCCTTTATTTAGGATGAATATCACTTACCACAACCGTGTTTGGACTCGGTGCTACAAAGGTGGAGGCTGGGGTCGTGGAGGCAAGTTGCCGGCAGCAGGCGTGGGTGGCAGTGTAGCTGAGCAAGGAGCAGTGAGGATGAGGTCGTATTTAAAGGGACCGCTTTGGTGAGGGAATGAGCTGTGATTGATCCGTAACCTTTCAGTAGCAGACAGCTGAGCACATGACACTGTGTCCTGCATGAACTAACGCAAAGCTTCATAAGTAAATATCTCAGCACAGGACCAAACCATTTGTAGTGTGGGTGTCACACTTTGTTACTTTCCTCAGTAGTGTGATGAATGACATGTATGTTCAGTCATCATGTGCTGCAGGCTCTGAAGAGTGAGTGGGAGTTGGAAGGACCTCTGGTGATGTTGCTGTTGGAGAGATCACTGAGGAACATACGAATCGCCCAGCAGCTCTACTGGTGAGCGACCGAGTCAGATGTCAAACTGAGGGGACGTAGATTTAGAATAACTTTGATAGTTTCATCCACTCAAACATGTTCAAGCATAAAATATTAATATAATGAAAGTTTGCATGAAAATAAAAAAGTCACTATAATGCATTAAAGGTTCAGTGTGTAGAATTCAGTGAAATCTAGGGGTGGAGTTGCATGTTGCAGCTGAATGCCCCTCACTTCACCCTCCCCTTCGGACATGAAAGAGAACCTGTGGCAGCCTTCAGTTGTCATAAAAACTCAAAAGGTTGAGTTTGTCCAGTCTGGGCCTCTGTAGAGAGGACCTGCTCCTGATGAAAATATAAAGTATTTGAATATAAAGGGCTCATTTTAGGGTAAAGAAAACAACATTTTGTACAGTTAGATTAAACACACTAGTGAAAACATCACTAGGATTATTTTATATTAAATTTCTGCCTATAGAATAAATCCATGCTTTCGTATTATTGTGTGTGTGTTCGTGTTCTGTATTTTTCACTGCTGTTTGGTCACCGAAGTTTTTATAATTTTTAATGTTTCTATGTTGACAGGCTGCTGGAGGATGCTCACACTGACCCTTACTATCAGAGTTGGTACAGTAAGATTCAGGCAGCGCTGCTGCACTGCTGTGGTCGGACACTGAGGCAGGAGCTGGAGCAAGAAACGCACCTGGTGTCCGAGCTGGTGCAGGTGGCTGACAGGGTCCGCACTGCTGACAAGGCTCGACGTAAGGTCTGTAATCATCATGCACGCATAATCCTCTACTCTTTGTGACTAACTGTGCAAGTTTGGCATTTTATTCTAATTTGTTTGTAATTTGATGAATTTGTCCGCAGACTGTGGTGAACACAGAAAAGGAGAAGATTGGCAGCTTCTTCAAAGACGGGATCACCTGTGGTCTGCCACTGGATCCTGCCGTCCGTGTGAAGGCGGTGGACTTGGATGTAAAAACATTTCACAACACATTACACCAATGTCAGGGAATTTGTGAGCTTTGATATCTTTTAATGTTGTTTAGGAGAAATGTATAAAGAATTGGATTATTAATGTGTTTGTTAGAAACCAAATGGTAAGTGTGTTTTTTGCAGCCTTTCTGAGGAGATTAAAGTTAGCCACAAACATCAGTGATAAAATGCTCTTGTTTCATGTTTCATTCATAAAGTTTGAAAGTTCCAAGAATTTCTAAGCGTTTTTTACAAATGCCTGCGGCGGAGGAAGTATTGTGAAAGTGCCATCTTTGCTGTGTTCTTTAGAGGGATGTAAACTACTGATAGATGAAGTCATCACAGGTTCTCTGATAAAGAAAATCCACCTGGGATGTCAGATACACAAGAGAATGTGTGACATAATTGAAGGAAGGAATGAAGCTGTGAAGTGTTGTATGAAGTATTCAGATCCTTTAGTCAAGTAAAAGTTTGAGTACATGTGTGAAACATGTGAAAAATACTTGATTACAAGGACAAAGTCCAGGATAAGAAAAGGTAAAACCCGTTAAATTGCATGTTAACATGCTCATCTTCCAGTTCTTAAAGGTTTGTCATATACATTAAAGTTATCAAACGTTGTGTAGGTCACAGATTCCCTGACAAACAATATTTCATTACTTTTATTTCATACACACTCAGCATTGTACTATTTCAGTGTTTCCTCCTTTGATGTGTTACCTTCAGGCCTGTAAGTTTTACAACTCCAACGCTGCTCCTCTGGGGATCACGTTCGTCTGCACCGACCCTCTGGCCAAGAAGGTCGGTGTCATCTGCAAGGTTGGTAATCATCTTGCACAGCCAGAAAAGTCTCCACCATCGTTCAATTAGTTGGTTATAATGTGATTCTTTATTCCCCAGATTTCCTTTCTAAGGGAATTAAAATTGGTTACCGAACAGCTCGCTCATACTGCTACACGTGACGTGGTACTTATACTCTAAGTACCATGTCAAAGAGACACATTTTCATCACTCAGTGTATTGTGTTGTTCAGACAGGAGACAACCTGCGTCAGGACATGCTGGTGCTTCAGATAGTCCGTGTGATGGACAGGGTTTGGCTCCAGGAGGGACTGGACATGCAAATGATCACCTACAGGTGTCTGTCCACAGGCACAGATCAGGGTCAGTTTGATTTGTATATGAATATTTCCTGTGTTATATCTGCGTGGCTGTGTTAATTAATGTTTACCTCACTTCTATGTTTCTAATCTATGCGGCTGTCAGGTCTGGTGGAAGTGGTTCCAGAGGCAGTGACCCTGGGGAAGATTCATCAGGAGTCAGGTCTGGGTGGGACCCTACGGGAGGACACGCTGGAGAAGTGGTTCCACATATGGAACAAAACCAAGGAGGACTATGAAAAGGTTACACACGATTTTTAATGTGACCTGTTTGCATTGATCGTTCTTGATTATTCAGTTTGTCGTGCATTGTGTAACATTGCTCCACTGTGTAAATGCAGGCTGTGATGAACTTCATCCACTCGTGCGCAGGCTGGTGTGTGGCCACGTTCATCCTGGGGATCTGCGACCGCCACAACGACAACATCATGTTGAAACACAGCGGACACATGTTCCACATTGACTTTGGCAAAATTATGGGGAATGCGCAGAAGTTTGGAGGCTTTAAAAGGCAAGTCGATAAAAAGGCAAGCAGCACTGTCAAAGTGAAATTACTGGCTTTACTGTTTTAGTAGCAGAGACAAGGATGCTGGAGGTGGGGGTGGCTGCAGCACACCCTACTGGTGAGGGAGGGCAAATGCAGGGAAAAGAGGTTTTCTAAAATCAATTAAAGAAATGTATATTTTCTACAGTAACATTTTAAGGGTAGCATAGTTGCAGGCTTTTCTACGTTAAACACGAGCTGAAAAGATTGTGGATTTTTGCTGCTAACAGTGTATTTAATGTGTCAAAAAAATAATTTGAGAACCTAAAGCAGAGTTTGCTGATTGTTTGCTTTTTCTAAAACGTGTATAAAATAGTGTGGGTCATGCAAATGAATAAGAATATGCATGATATAGACTTGATCCCAGCATCCCCAACTCGAAAAGACTTCCAGCATCCCTGTTCAAAGACAACAATGTGAATTAACAAGAGCCCCCTCCCACTCTATGTTGCAATGATAGGGACCGCTCACCTTTCATCTTTACATCTGAGATGCAGCACTTCATCACAGGCGGGGGGCAGAAGCCTCAGCGCCTGCATCGCTTCGTGGAGCTCTGCTGTGAAGCTTACAACAAAATCAGACGGCGCTCGGCACTGATACTCAGCCTGTTGGAGCTGGTGAGCCCTTTGCTGAATAATAACTTCACAGTTATATCTGAGAATAGATCATGTTTTATATAACAAACTCTCGCTCATGGTGTGAATGTGGCGACCAGATGCTGCATGCTGGTATGCCAGAACTGAAGGATTCTAATGACCTGCAGTACGTCCAGAACAACCTCAGACCTCATGACACCGACCTGGAGGCCACATCCTACTTTACAAAGTAATTTAATGTGCATCACACAAATTTGATATCTGCTGTTTTATCTTTTGGATGCAAGTTATCAGACACAGTTGTATTTATCGGTGTTTGTGTCCCTCCTGATGCAGGAAGATCAAGGAGAGCATGGGCTGTGTTGCAGTCAAGTTTAACTTCCTGACGCACAACATGGCCCAAGGGAAGAAGCAAGAACCGCTAACCAGGGACAGCATCCCCACTCCCAGCACCAACATCCAAGAAGCTGTCATCCAGGGATTCAAGGTCAAGGAAAAAGATGTGGTGAGGCAAAAGACAACGAGATTGGATAGTTTTGATGATAAGGGCATGTAACCAAAACCATGGGCTTTTAGAAGCAGAATTATTTTGTATCCATGTCCTGCTTCCATGCAGGTGTCTTTCCTCCTGAATAAGCCGTACATTTCTTCATATATATGTGTGTGTGTGTGTGTGTGTGTGTGTGTGACAAAGTTCTTTACTGAAATCTATTTGGCCCCTGAAGTAAAAAAAATATATTGATATAGCATCTTTCATGCAGGTTCAATTCAAAATGCTTCACATATAATTGACAATATGAAAATAACTAGTCACTTATTAACTGTATCAAAAATAAATATGATACTGCAATAAATCACATTTTGGAGTACACTGTGTGCTTGAACAAGGAAAATTGTACATAATATTATTCAATGATGTGTGGCTTTGCAGATGTATGACCTCAGAGTAACCATTGATGATGGTTTTCTGACCAGTGAGAAGACATTTGGGCAGTTTGAGCTGATCCATAAGCAGCTACAGAAATACTTCATTGAATCCATGCTGCCCCAGTATGTGAAGAAAAAAACAACGCACAGATCCAGCTCACATATCACAGCTATTTTAATTTTAACTTAACTTTTTCTTTCACGGTTATAAAATAACTGGATGCATGTCTTCACTCTCTTCTCCCTGAAAGGTTTCCGAGGTGGTCCTTCACCACTGCTGGGAAGATGTCGCTGCTGAATAAATACCTGAAGCAGCTGTTTGAGGGACCATGCAAGGGAGTGAGTTCCTCTACATCTCTACATCACTGCTTGATTCCTCCCTGTGATATTTACCTGGCTCTAACTTGTTCATTTATCTCACTGCAGAATGAGTTCGTGTGCAGCTTGTTCCTGGACGGCCCTGGCAAAGTCCAAGAAAATGTGGCGACAGGTAATTTTCTATATAAAGAAATAAAGATGATTTAAATGAAAAGATTTATATTTTGAATGTGAAAGTTGATTCTGCTGAATATTTTTTTTGAACTCTTTTTCTGGCCCTGACACACTGATCTTTTGCAGGAGCAGGTCCACAGATCCAGCTCTACATTTCTTATGTTAACTCTAAGCTCTCGGTTTTGGTAAAACACCTGAAGAACATTGTGAGTTTCCTTCACTCTGAGGGCCGGTGCACACTAAAGGATTATTGGGCTGATTTTTGATCAGTTTTGTCCCCTCTGATTATCGATTAGAATCATCCTAAATCCATAACTGCCGATGAGAACGAGGTAACCGGGAGGCGTCGACTTATGTTTCCAACTCACGCTGCAAAAGATTATTCCCCCTCCTCAGCCATGACTTCTTCCACAGATTGTTTTTCTTTTTTGTTTTTTCGCTGCACAACAAAACACACACGAAAGTTCATCCCCCTCCATGTTTGTTTTTCTTCTGAAGTCATGTTTGATCACGCAAGTTTCTGTGAGTCCCTGCAATCGCCTCTGTGAAATCGTGTCCTAGAAACGGCTGTGACGTTCTGGCCCAACCACCTTGGGCGTGTGTTCAGACGATTATAATTTGATATCGGTTAAACCTGTCATTATGTCCGTGAACTTCAATGTTTTTAAAATCAGTTAAGGGTTGAAACTCCTCTAGTGTGCACCAGGTCTTAACATTCTCATTGCAAATGTTGTAAATTGGTTCCTTGTAGAAATGCTTACTGGTTTATGCTGAGGAGCAGCCTTTTCTCTTTTCAACAGAAAAATGCGAACGGCTCTAACCCCGACGCCTACGTGGTTATGCGCCTGAGACCAGACCCTCAGGAGCGCTCTAAGAGGAGGACAAAGGTGGTCCGCAATAATGACAACCCCACCTTCAATGAACTGGTACGTCACCTTCTCTGCTATCCTTACTGCAAGAACATATGCTTTACATGAGGAAAGCTGTAGAATATTAAACCACATTCAAATTCACTAGATCCAGATTTTTATTTGATCTACATCCAATTAAAAAGAAGCATAATTTTCAGTCCCCTGAATGTACCTTAAATTCAAGGGCTTCTTCCCAAATCTATACAACATCCTTTCACCAAATTTCGTGGTAATCTGTCCAGTAGTTTAGCATAATCCTGCTACTAACAGACAAAGGCAGATGATGGTGTGACGTCCTTGGTCGAGGGAAAGACTTATTTTCATATTCTCATTAATAACACATTTATAGGTGTGCTTTGCCCTGCTTCTGGTTTTAACACTTACTTTTTCCTATTGTTTGAATTTCTTTTTAACTATTTCATGTTGTTTTCCTTCTACCTTTAATTTGTAAAGGACTTTGTTACAGTTTCAAAACTTGCTATATCCATAAAATTTAATCTTAAAGGTCCAGTGTGTAAGATTTAGGTGAAAGGATCTATTGGCAGAAATGTAATGTAGAATAATCCTCATGATGTTTTCACTAGTTTGTTTCATCTAAATTGTATGAATTGTAGTTTTCTTTATCCCAGAAAAGGCCCTTTATATTTAAATACTTTATATTTACATCGAGGGGGTCCTCTCTACGGAGGCTGCCATGTATTTTACATTAATCCAGACTGGACAAACGAAACACCTTTGCGACAACTGACGCTACCACAGGTTCTTTGTCATGTTTGGAAGGAGAGGGTGAGGTGAGGGGTGTTCAGTGGCAACATGCAACTTCAACACTAGATATCACTAAATTCTACACACTGTACTTTTAATAGGATTCTAAGTAACAGACAGACACAGTTCATGGCTATAGCTGTGAACACAGTGGATCATTCAGCAGCTAGAGAACCAGATACTTTCTTCAGGAGTTGATGGAGATCAACAACAACGAATGAATATTGGACCTAAATTCACCAGGTGCCGAAAAACACAATCTCAAATGGATAATGTTGCTTCTCATCAATCCATATGAACGTATTGGATCCTCTTGAGATGATGCACAAACTCAATCTGACTGATGCGTGTAACGTTCACTTCCAACTTGAGCTCTGCCTGCGGCGCTGCTCTCCTCGCTGTGTGAGCGTGATGAGATCTTTGAGCGTTAAACACAGCGGACTCTGACCCTGCAGCTCTGACAGCCTCTTACCACCCTTTTATGTTGCATGTTTTATGTGAATAGGAAAACCACAGATTTCAGATAAAAGCCAAACAGTGGAGGCCGCATGCAGAGCCGAGTTGATAAGAACTGATAACTCAAACATCTGCCTCCTGTTCACAGCTGGAGTACAGCTTTGTTCCACTGCTCTATGGGATGGTGCTGGAAGTTACGGTGAAGAGCAAGAAGACGTTCGTGGCTGCGACCAACATTAGACTGGAGGACAACTTGCTTGACAAGAAAACATGGTTTCCCCTCGGGAACTGTGCAGTCTGACATGAGAGCACTGTGAGCCTGCTGCCAGCAGAGGGCGTAGCCACACTGAGGGAGAGGATCCAGACTTGATGAAGTGTGGGAGATTCACCTGAGAGGAGGAAGTGTGCACTGACGTTTTTAACTATTTATCTGATGCAACTGAACCTCACTGAACCCTGAGCTCAATGCACTGGAAGACGTTACAAATCCGAGTCACTAGACTCAGGGGGAGAGACTGTTTATTGTGCAAAGCGTCGTTTACCGTCTCCACTTATTTTTTTCAATTATTTTAATACATATCTTTTCGATTGTTTCGAAGCAGTCTTGGTGATGTATGAAGGAAACAAACTATTTTAATTATTGTACGTGCACTTTCATTTGTACATTGTTTTTGTTCTTGTAAATGTGCGTGTGCGAGACTCATCAGTGCAGATTGAGGGGGAGGGGATGTTGTTGTTGTCAGTCGGTGCTGCCTGTCTGTTACCTGCTTGGACTGAACGTGTTGTTTGTCCCTTTAGGCTGTGACAACTGGGTGTCCTTGACCAGTGGAATTGGTGAGAGGGGGTGAGGAGAGAGGGGTGAGGAGAGTGTGTGTGTGAGCAGGATGACAACACTGCCTCTCTGGCCTGAGGGGTTGACTTAACACCCCCACCTCCCCTCTCTCTCTCCATCCTTTGTCTTATCCATCAGTGCGTCCAGACACAGTTATGCACATGCATGCACAAACATGCAAAGGCAGATGTTCACATGCCTGTACAAATACCCCCGAAAAAAAAGCACACACACACACACATATGGCCTCTTTCAAGGCTGAGGCAGGTCTAAATGCCATCCTCCTCCTGACAGGCCTGCTGACCCGCACTCTCCTCCTCCTCATTCACAGTACTCAGTGATGAACGCAGATAGAAATAGACTCCCCTGCACTGGATTTGGCTCAATAATGTAAAAACCTCTGTGAAAGCTATTTATATTATTCCCTGTTGGCTCTCTCACAGTGAGAGCTGGCTGCTACTCGCTCATCGGAATGTTCAGCGTGAATGTATCCCGGTGTGACTCATCACTTTCAGCCTCAAAGGGGGGGTAACTGATTCTGGGGAACGGCACGTGCATTGCGGTGCACCACTGCTTTCAACAAGTTGGCCATCACAAACATTAACCTTATCTGAAGACAAAAAACACCCTCTGTGATAAAACACAAGACACGTTCAATGACCAGAATCAGCTGCGTGTGTGTGTGTGTGTGTGTGTGTGTGTGTGTGTGTGTGTGTGTGTGTGTGTGTGTGTGTGTGTGTGTGTGTGTGTGTGTGTGTGTGTGTGNTGTGTGTGTGTGTGTGTGTGTGTGTGTGTGTGTGTGTGTGTGTGTATACACACACTTCGTCTTCCCTTGAAGTAACAGACAGACATACATTGATGCACCGTGAACGCTACACCACCGGTGGTAGTGACTGGCTGCTGCCCACACAGAGGACATTATTGTGGTTGCCTCAGCACACAGAGCAGTCCAGAGGCAACTCCTGGTGGTCTCTCCACAGCTGATAGATGTTCACGCATGTCTTCATCATTTCGTTACCTGAAGTAGGCGTGGTGTACGTTATCTGAGGAACCTTTGCGAGGTTGTCGTCCTACCTCTGTAGTAGAAGGCAGAGGACTGATGACATTATCTGTCATCGTGTGATGTTCTTCAAAATCATTCCAAGAAAGAGGATTAGCGTATCATTAGCATATATTGTTTATGATCGTTTCTGGTTCAGACACCTCTGTCTTAGTCCTAGAGCCACTGAACGCCCCCAGTCCTGTGCACCAGCAGGAACACCCTTGGTGTTTGGCTGGAACAGTGCAATGGTGCGTTCATATGCAAATTACAGTGTATAATTATACATTATACATGCACATTTTTCGCACGATGAGATTACATAGAAAAATAATGCAAAGACACGAATAGACGCAAATTTTGCATCTTCCGCCCCAAACAAGGTCAATGCACAACACGATAAATGCAGATTTCGTGTCTATTTTGTCATCTATCACCCGAGTTGACATATTTGAACTAGAGCAAAGCATTTGCATGACGTGATGTCAGGAATGCCGTTCAGCACTGAGAATGAAACTCACCAGAGTCAGGTCCTGGCAACAACCCGAGCTAGCGGGTGATCAAACCACCCACAGTTCTGTCTGGTCATCCAGACACAGCTCCTGGAGAATACTGTGACATTTCCAGAGCTGTGGGCCTCCTGGCGGTCTAATGGACCCACACAAAATGAGGCTGGCTTCTCCGGCATTTCCGCAACAGGTACAACACATCAACCATAGTTAGTTCAGCCTGTAGTGCTCCTCTCCTCTTTTCAGGCAGAGAACAGGTGAATAATCACAGGTTGTGAACCCAAATGTTGTCACGGCCCGAATCACAAACGCATCATCGTACACACCTGATGTAAACAAGTGGCCCCACATGCATCTCGTGATCAGATCTCACTTCTCCACCCTATATGCAAATAAGCACGTACATCATTTCTGTTCACGAAGACCAGGTTATGTTGTTTTTACCCAGTACACAAGTGTGTCCGATGTGTGTCTGTGTGTGTCTATGTGTGTGTTTGTCTGTCTGCACTAGAGAGAAGCGCTGAATGAATCTTGTGCAGTTGCGTTGTAAATAAAGATGTTTACCAATTCAAGGAAAGTATTGATTATTATGTGGTGATCACTATTGATATTTGGTTACAAATAAGTCAATGAGAAGGGAAAAAGATTTGTAATGGACGGATTTGTGTTCACACAGCTGAAAAAAATGTGGACCCAGACCACCTCCGAATGCGGTCTGGTGTGATTGGATCAGTTTCAGATCTGAGTGCGTTCACACCTGCACTATCACAGAAACTACATGTTAATACCAGCTCTCTTTCTTTTCCAAATATAGAGTCAGGGCTATTTATTTAAAACTTTTTTTTTTCCAGCACATACACAGAATGTACAGCTAGTGGAGGTGTGAGGGAATATTAGCAGAATTTGACAAATAGTGTATTGAATTAATATCACTTACCCCACCTTTAATATAAAATGTATTGCTTTGGAACCTGAAAGCATCACTATCTCGTGGTTGGGTATAAGATCATCACATGTGCAATAACTGCACTTAGTCTGCATCTATTATTAATTCCACAATAGAAATCTAATGTAATGTATTTTGTTCCTGTCTTTTAAGCCCTGTCGGAACCTGGTGATGTTTTCCTCTGCAGCTCACTGTGCATGCTGTAGAAAAATACACACGTGTTTTCTCACAATAAAACTGGTATTTATATCTGAGGAAAACTGAGCTTTTTTTGATTTATTTATATATTTTTGTTTGTTGTTGCTGCATCAGCCACGCTTCTTGTGTGTGTGTTTGTGTGTGTGTGAGTGTGTGTAAGAGAGGGAGTCTGTTTTTAGGAATACCAGACAAAGACAAAGAGGGAGGCTGGATCCAGACTGCATCCGTCTCGGGACAGGAGAGGTACCCAGCGATAGCCTGGAGGTGAAAAGAAATGTGTGTATATGTTAATACTTGCGCATCTTATATATACATGCAAACACACACACAGGAGCATTTGAAGACAAACTGAAGCACAGAGCAGAGACCAACCTTCAGTAACGCTGACAGGGTGACTGAAGGGAAATACAATGATGGCCACACAATGTCACCTGATGTAATTTAGCTCTTCTCTTTTGACTCCCCTCCCCCGCACCCTCACCCGCTGTCACTCTCCGTGTCTCTGTGACTCACCTTTCTTCAGGCTGCTGAAGGGCAGAGTGTACTGGCCCACAAAGTCACTACTGAGGAAGCCGGTGTGATCTCGCACACAGAAGCGGACGAGGCAGAGCTCGGGGACGCTGATGTTGAAGATCATGTCGGCGTCCCAGTGAGGAGTCAGAGCTGTAATGGTAACCACAATTCACCAGATTATTACAACCAATAACAATTGATGGGTTTAGTTTCTCTAATAAAGGTTTTATATTGATAATGGATCTCATGTATTTGTATATGAAATTTATTGTGACCTAACCCTAACCCACAGAAAATTGTCAATGTCAGATTGGCTCCAGCCCCACCACTATCAAAATGATAAGTGGTATAGATAATGGATGCATGGATTGAACTTTATGGTCTACTACATCATTAACTGTGCCTACTGTATATATATTTTTTGAATAGAACAATAAAACAGGCAGATAATAATAAATAATGCTGTAGATGATGCTACTGGAGATTCATATTAATTAATGTCTGAATCTCAGCAATGGCCTCTTCTGAATTCATTTTAAGTGTAACACAGTGTAAAAAAGTTAAAGGGAACAGTACCTGAACATAAATCTACTTAAGTATAAAGAAATGAATAATGAAGTAAATGTCCTTCGTTACATCCCACCACTGCAAATATGGTTTTTGTTTAGTAGGTGTAATGTTTATCATGATACCATGTTGACCACAATATGATCCTGATGACATAATAATGCGTGACGAGTGATACACGGGTTCAGTTGTGCAGTGACAGAGGCGGAGTGAACACCTAGATAATTAATGAGTCTGTTGTGATTCACAACTCATTTCTGATTCAAAGCAATTTGTGCAAGTTCTTCTGTTTTCTTTTAAATCTACATTCATTTGTATTCGCAAGTTACCTCATCTCTTTCATAGTGTGAAATGATTTTATGATTTATACCCATGCACTGGTGCTCTGCAGCCTCTAGGACGTTTTATTATCTCCTCTTTTTTTCTTTCCATCTTTGTCTGTTTTCAGCGGCAGCCACACAACAATGTATCTCTTAATGTTATGTTTGGGTCTTAAGTACATTTGTGAAAATGCAGGCACCAAATTAAAGGAGACAGACTGTGTTTAAGGCTGATCCACCTAAAATGTGAGAGGTCCTTAAAAACCCTCGACAGCTGAGGAATTAACTTCTGCACTTGAAAGTCTGATTATAGTTACAGGCTGTAAATTTAAGACCTAAACAGTCATTTTCATAGTTATCATAATAAACCAATGAAAATCCAAAAAATCTTTGTATGTGTAAGGATTCAACTGGTGCAGTGACTGTCGACTCCATGTTTCCAGTCTTAGTGACAGTAGTGTGTGACAGAGTTCCCTTCAAAGGAAAAGCACTTCTACAGTTTGAAGAATTTCATCAGCACATTTCTCCTCTGAAGCCCATCCACAGCTTATCAGCAAAGAGTTTTAACAGGAAGAAAAAGAGGAACTTACAGAAATTGAATAATACTGCTGCCATAGAAAAATCCCATGATGCCAGTCAAACTGTTTCTAGAGATGCCCTAACAAAATGTATATAAACTCTGCTGTTTGCAATTCAGTACTTACAATTGTGTTTGACAGTGTGTGTGTTTTTTCTGCAGGAGTCAGATGCAATCCCATTAATCTCCACTCTGACGAAGGGGTCCAGAGCTTTGCCGCTCCGGGGGATAGGAAGGTTGGACCCACTGATCACCTGCAGGTAAATACACACACAGACGATATGGAGAGTCACATGAGGGGCCTGTAAGAATCAAAGATTATCCAGGGATAAACAACAGAAGGTAGAACAGGAGAGGCGGTAAGAGTAAAGAAGAATAGAGGGGAAGCTGTAATTAAGTGTGGAGAGGGGCAGGATGATCTGCAGTCCTCTCACACTGAGCCTTCCCTACCCCAGCCCCTGATCAAACACAAACCTGCTGGTACTTATCACGATACGCCCCACTTGGCTCTGATGGAGCTTTACAGTGTCCGGCCCAAAATTACAGTCCCTCCCCTGAAGTCATGCCACAAACGTTCAGCGGTCCACACTACAGAGTGTATACACACATAGCTGTTTGAAATCAGGATCTAAAAAAAGACAATTCCTTATAGTAAACAGTTTGATGCTAAATAATCTCACTAAAGCTCAAGGGGAAATATTGTTTTCCAGAGCTGATGAATAATTTGATTTTTAAATATTGAAAATGTGACCCTACCTATTGAATGCTGCTCATGACACTGATTACTACTGAGTCTAGTGCTGATGCAAGATGGCAGGATTTTCCCTGAAGTGATCGAATAATACATAGTGATGATGTGAATAAATAAGAGGGTTTTTTTTCCCCTAGGGCAGTCAAGAATTGAGCTCAGCACATATGTCACGCACTGTGTTGGGAAGATGTGTGTGTGTGTGTGTGTGTGTGTGTGTGGCCATGTCTCATGTGCTTATATTTAACTACACATCATCATCATCATAAAGTATTCACCATCACAGGTACAGTAGAGCCAATACTTATAGAGAACTTTTGAAAGCAACATGTACAAGTGGAAAGAACAAATAACCCATGATGCATCACTGGATCCAGGTGATACATAAGAAAACCGTTTATAAGTCAGTTTACCAAGATGACAAAAAGCTGTTTCTCATTACCGACTAGCAATGCAAATAATCTAGGTTATAATTGTTCAGGTTTTGTGATCTGCATCTATTTTATAACACCACCCAAACCCAAAGGAGGTAACCACAATTTCACCAAGGCCCAACAATTCCCTTAGACTCAATCAACTGAAGTTAAAAAAAAAAAAAAAATCAATCATACACACTTGTACATATCGGTTTCATGAAGATCCATTAAGTATTCTCTGGGTAAAATTGTGAAAATGTTAACATAAACATTCTATATCCCAATGTCAAAAGCAGTGATGAAAAATTCCTGCATCTGTCCCTTTGTCCTGGTCCACACCAAGATGTAACTGGTTCTGTCTTGACCCATGTCCCATCCTTCCATCACAGACAGGGGTGAAAACAACCTCCCTGCTGGAGGTAACAGAATCCAAACATTGTTTGACCAAACCTTTCCATGAACAACAATGCTGTAAATCTGGGAACTCACTCCAGTCTATACCTTGACTAAAAGAACAAAACAACATGAAGCACTCTACTGGAGCACTCTGAACTTTGCTTTTAGCTGTTTAAGAGAGACTCAATGCAACTTTGATGACATCCTGCTCTTGTACCAGTCAAGTTTAAATGCACTTATGATCATTTGCTTTTAGACTAAAACATCAGCCGAACTAAAATCATGTTTAAGAACAAGTAGTCAAAAGTTTTTATGCGAATAAGTCATTGAAAAATGGATCTATCTACTACGCAACCGATTTCCATGAAGTTTTGCAGAGGGGTGGAGCATGACATAAGAGGGTGTGGCTCCAGATCAGGGTTTTTTTTCCCCACTTTTTTTAACACAGACATTTTCAACATTTTCATTGATTTCTCAGAGAACAGTAAATTTGTAAGGATAAGTATCTGACCGCTCTACCCCCTAACAACAGCTGCCCCCCTAATGATGTATGAATCTCGATCTTGTTGAGGGGACTGATATATATGAGGATGGTCCAAATAAAAAACAGGACGTAGTAAATTTAAATGTGGTCCCATGTGTTGTAATATGGTGGAGACAGATCCCAAAGCAGAGTGATTCAGTTTAAGAAGTATTTTCACTATGAGTCACAAATTGTTGATGATCATGAAACTACAATGTTCCCTCGTCTGCTGTGAGTCCCATGTGATCACAGGCAGTTCCACATGTCTTTACTGTACAATGTCCTGTATATCTCATATATCTTATCACATTATCTTCTGTCCTTATGATAAGGACCTTATCATATGTGTGACTGCAATCGTCACAGGTTGACTGAAAAGCTGT